CGCGACACTGAGGGTTGTGATCCGTTGCTGGTCACGAAAAAAGACAAAAAAAAAAAAAAAACTAAAATACATAATCTAAGTATATGACATACTACAATCAGGCCTGGGACAGAGTTTCAATAAATATTTGTTAAGTGAAAAAGAAAGAGAGAACCAGAGAGGAAGGAAGGAAGGGAGAGAAAGATCACCTTAATAATAATCACACCCTTTTCAGGGTACTTGAGCAGAATGCTCTGTCAGTCAAGGATCCTCATCCAGGGCAGCAAGGACGTGTGTCAGGGTTCTTACTGCAGACCTGTTTCTAACACACATTCAAACCAACCCAAATATCCATCAACAAGGGTCCAGGTAAAAAAGGTCTGGGCTCGGTCACATAACAAAATACTTTGCAGCCATTAGAAAGAATAAGGTGATTGAGTATGCAAAATTACTGTTAAAAAAAAAAAAAAGCAAGTTGCAAGATTTTCTGTAGAATGTTGCCATGTTTCCATTAAAACCCTATGTATTTATCTATCTCTGTATGTGTGTCTAGACCAGGGTTCCTCAGCATCCAAACTGTGGACATTGGGGGCTGGATCACTCCTTGCGGTGGGGGCTGTCCTGTGAATTGTAGGATGTTGAGGAGGACCCTTGGCCTCAACCTCTTCCCCTTCCCCGGATGTGACAACAAAAAATGCCTCCAAGTATTGTCAAATATGCCTTGGGGCAAAATCACCCATGGTTGAGAACAACTAGTTGGCCTGGAGGGGTGTGTGTGTTCTAGTTTATGCACCAAACTCATTGTTTGGGGGAGATTTTCTTTCTAAAACATATGTTTGTATAATATTTTAAATTTTACACAAGCACCCACTACTTTTGCCGTAACACAAATCGGCATATGACAATCAATAATATATATATGATTGGTAAGTGACCATGCAATGCAGGAAAGTGCCAAAGGAGATCAAAAACTGTAACGGTGGCTGCATCTGGGGGAACTCATCTTTTACTTTCTACACCTCTCCCTGCGAGATCTGAATTTTTAACAACCAACATTTTGTATTTTGGCATTTGTTTTGGTTGTTTCTCAAAAAGATCAAAAACCAAAGATCTTTGGAGAGAAGAGAAACAGGCAGCTGGTCCAAGGCTTCCCAATCCCTTAGTGAGAAAACAGATCCCTTGACAACCAGCACTCCTGGGGCCTGCATATTCCAGGCGGGAGTCCAAGGCTGGGCTGGGGGACAGAGCCAGGCCAGGCGCCCCCTCCACAATGCCCCGGCTCCCGCTGCCAGTGGGCTCCTGAGCGAGATGCTGGCAAAGGGCTGAAGTGTCGCATTTCCACGGCCTCTTCCCCCTCCCGCTGTTGCCACAATAACAACCCGGAGGTGGGGACAGGTGAAGCCCTTCTCGGGAAGCACACGGGGCAGGCAGTGCTGGGTACTTACGTCCATTCTGCCTAGTAACAGTGCTTCCAGGCAGGAATCACACTGTGAACTCTGGTGTGGAACTGAGGCTCGGAGAGAAGTGACTGCTTTACACGCAGTGGACAAGCAGCAGAGTCTGTATGATCCTGAACATAATAATGGGTAGCTTGGCCTCTCGGAGAGACATGGGTTCAAAGCTCAACTCTACCACTTAGTGACTTGTAAAGGTTAATTCTAGGTGTCAACTCGGTTAGATGAAGAAATGCTGAGAAACCTGGTAAAGCTATCTTTTTAGGTGTGTCCACGAGGGTG